TATGGCTCATAGAGCAGAATATGCTGGAATTATGCTGTAAAAAATATAAAAGATTCAGATTACTGTGACTCAAATCAATAAAATATTCACTAAAGGGAATGACTTCAAATTTACCCTGATGACAAACTTTTATCTCCTTTCATGCTTTTTTATAAAATTATTGCATTAATTAAATAAAGACAAATATAAAATATTGGAAATGAAGCCGTGGGACCAAAAGCAGGTGATAAATAAGAATTATATATATTTTTAATATCAAGTCCATGTTTTCTATAGTTTTTTTTATAAAATAAGATCATTTATGCTACAGTCTGTAAAATAGTGTAGCTTCTATAATCTGCTTTCATTCTATCATCTTTAATGATTTTAATTCTTATTTAACTTAAATATAGAGTCACTTTTATTCACCAAGTTGTTTCGTACTAAAAGGAGTTTGACTTGAGATCCAGTTTGCTCCCAATAAAGACGTTTCACGTACAAATATAAGGAAAGATAAATAGAAATATTTCTCCTGTAATCTGGATTATAAGCATTTTCTGCTAAAGAGGAAGATGTGGTCAGATTGGTGGAAATAATCTGGATTTGGTTCCTCTGACTGATAAAAGCGTCAGAGAGACAGACTGAGGGAGAAAAGGTCTGAACAGTTCATGTCCAGGGTGTGTGGGATCTGCAGATGCTAGCTGCCTTTTTCCTGACCCATAATCCTGGATTAGAGGGAATTAATCTGGACGATTCTTCCTTCAGATTATAGTTTCTATTGTTTTGTTGTTCTCTGTGTTTGCTTCGTGTCTCCATATGATGTTCTGTTGGTGTTGTTTGTCCCTCACTGTCTGCCAGAGGCTGGAACTCCCTGCTTCTGGTCCAGTTGGAGGTCTGGTTGGTTCTGACGGCCCGGACTCGGGCCATGTACTGGTCAAACACGTCCCCCAACCCGTCGGTTAAATTGCACGTCTGCCCGGCCATCAGCTGCTCGCACCCGACCACAGCTTTCCACCGCCGCGTCCTGCTGGGCGAAAGCAAAGGCGGTCAGACCGGAGGCAGGAGCAGCGTGTCACGCCACACAGTTCAATGTTTCAATGGAAGCCGAGTCTGACGCAGGAAACTCGCTGCTTTCTGAAACTTTCACAATCAGTCAGAAAGACGAGCGCTCAGCCAGAGCGACCTCCAGAAACAAAAATGAAACTTAGAGGAGAAACAATGGAGCAATCAGCCCTTCATCATCAGCTGTCCAATTAAACACCTGATTATTTACATAAAAATCCATTTCTTTTTTATTTAAACATCAAACATCAGTCATGTTTAAACAGCAGCTTTAGTCACTAACAGGAAATAGTTTTTATTTCTCCAGTTTATCCAACATCTAAAGAAAGAAGTTTAATATATAACCAGATATAACGCCATTTCCTGTCCTCAGAGATCTAATTACATGTTTTTATTTGATCGTCCTCCATTTATTGGTTCCCTCACTGGTCATAAAGAAACTCCAACAAGATAAACGTCTCAGAATAAGAGTTTAAATGAGGATATCTGACAAATAAAGACAGAATTTCTGATTTTATCAGGAATACTCTACCAGATCTTCCTTTTTGTCCTAAATTGCAGGAATTAGAAAAGTTTCTGTTTTGTTAGACCTGATCAGAATCACCATAAAACAAGTTTAAAACTTTTTAAAAAGCATAAATTAAAGCAGCAGCAGCTGTTGTTTAACCGCTGGGAGGATCTAAGCTGCCGGATCAAATAGACGCCTTTCTGAGGCCGAATGAGGAACCTCACACGCCCTGATGATGGGATGGGACCAGTAACAGGTTCATAAACACATGAGCTGGACATTTAAAGACCCCTAACCCAACACTGCTCCCCGGGGCGCCGCACAATGGCGGCCCACTGCTCCCCAAGAGGATGGGTTAAAGGCAGAGAGGGAATTTCTTAGTGTTTCATGTCACAGTGGAATGACAATAAAAAAAGCTGGAAATGGACTCTTAGGAAATGGGACCAAATCATCGGTTCTGAATCGAACCAGATGATTTAAAATGGAGCCCATTTTTTCAGTCTGTAAAATGATCTGCTTTTTGTTTTTTTAAAACTGTTCTTCCAAACCAAAGCGGGTCACTCAGAGTTATGGAAACCCCCAGTGATGCAACAAGATAAACCTCAGATATAAACACCTGGTTAAACAGGAGGCTTCTTCAAAATATGTTGATCCGTCCTGTTTCTCTCTCTCTTTCTTTCTTACTGTTTC